ACCCCAGAGCCTGCGTCTCCTGTTAGGCTTTGAACTGAGCTTCCAAGCTCTCTTGACTGATAAGAACTGCTTGGACCTTGACAAAAGCCTCCCTTTGGATGGACTGCTTCATCATTTTCTAAACATGTTCTTAGTGTCCTGTGCCTTTCCTTTCAAACTCCTTTGTCCCTCAGCGGATTTTGGAGCACATAGCCTCACTATTGTGCATATTCAGTAATAAATTATATTCACGCACTCATATGTATTTGATCTAGATCTGTCTTTTTCCGTACATGTAATTATTTTGTGAGGCATAGGGAAACTGAAATTTTAAAAAGGACAAAAATAAATGAGCAGAAGTTCTCGTATGTATTTTCTGATCATCTGTGGATTGTTTCGTCGCTCTGTCCCCCTTCCCTACAGGAACTCCACTTAGGCTTAGGAGAGGAAATTCCAAATACTGTCACTTTAATTGTCAGAGTCCTTTGTTTTTATTCCTATGGCTACTAGTCTTGTTCATATTTAAACCTCCATTTGTCTTCACACTCTCTGCTTGTTCATTTGTCTTCACACTTTCTGCTTGTTCATTTGTCTCTACAACCTGTGTATTGATCAGGGTTCTCTAGAGAAAGAAAATATATATTGAGAATACATATCTGAGGCAGAAAGAGAGAGAAACTAAGATTTGTTTTAAGGAACTGGCTCATGAGATCGCAGGAACTGGCCAGTCCAAAATCTGCAGGGCAGGTCACAGACTGGAAACTCAGGCAGAATTTGTATGTTATAATCTGGGGGTAGTATTTCTTCTTCTTCAGAGGACCTCAGTCTTTTCTCATAGGCCTTCAACTAATTGGATGAAGCCCACCCACACTAAATTAATTAATCTTCTTTATTAAAAGTCTACTGACTTAAGTGTTATCACATCTTTAAAAAGTACCTTCACAGCAACATCTGGACTGGTTTTTTTTTAAAGATTTTATTTATTTGTCAGAGACAGTGTGAGCACACAAGCAGGGGGAGCGGCAGGCAGACCAGGCAGAGGGAGAAGCAGACTCCCCGCTGAGCAGGGAGCCCGACGCAGGGCTCGATCTCAGGACTCTGGGATCATGACCTGAGCTGAAGGCAGACGTTTAACCGACTGAGCCACCCCGGTGCCCCTAGACTGGTGTTTGACCAAACAACTGGGCACCGTAGCCTAGCCATGTTGACCCATGAAATGAGCCATCGTGCACCTCTGGCATGATCTTCCAGCTGGAGCTTTTGTGATAGCCTTCAAGGCTTATCTTCCAGGCTCCTGTGTCCATCTTCCACTTCTTCTCTACCCTCATACTGCCATGGGACTTAAAAAAAATTTTTTTTTTTTTTAAGATTTTATTTATTTGACAGAGAGACAGTGAGAGGGAACACAAGCAGGGGGAGTGGGAGAGGGAGAGGGAGAAGCAGGCCTCCCGCGGAGCAGGGAGCCTGATGCGGGGCTCGATCCCAGGACCCTAGGATTATGACCTGAGCCGAAGGCAGACGCTTAACCTTCTGAGCCACCCAGGCGCCCCGCCATGGGACTTTAGAAGGACGGACACTGGCATGGGCAAATTTGAGTCTAAGCAGCATAAGTAATAATAATAGTCACTGTGCTAATATATTTTTTAGTGTTCCCCAAAATACAGTTATGATAAAATTTAAAGTTCTGTGCCACCCGAACCCCTCTAACTTGCAGCCTCATCTTTCCTGTCACAGTCAGACGTACATACGCTCCAGCTACCCTCAGTGATACTTGTAGTTCTTCGTATACACTGGTAATTTCCCATCACTATGGCTTTGCTTTATGAGATACAATCAAGACTAATACGAGGCAAAAATAAGGAGGGGGCTGTAGGAGAGCAGAAGTCGATACAGATAATTCAAGCTTTCGAGATCTGAAAAAACTTTCATTAAGGTGGGGAGAGAGGAAAGGGTGAGCTGGATAGTGTGATGGGCTGAATTGTGCCTCCCCTCCCCCATTCATATGTTGAGGCCTTAACTCCTGCCACATCAAGATGTGACCATATTTGGAGACAGGATCTTTATAGAGGTAATTAGGCTAAAATGAGGTGCTTTGGGTGGGCCCTCATCCAGTATGACTGGTGTCTTTATATAAGAAGAGGAAATTTGGACACAGACACACACAGGGGAGATGATGTGAGGTCACAGGGAGAAGGTAGGCATCTACAAGACAAAGAAATTGTCCTCGGAAGAAACCAAGGCTGCTGACACTTTGATCTTGGACTTTCAGCCTCCAGAACTTCGAGAAGATACATTTCTGTTGTTTGCGCCACCCAGTCTGTGGGGCTTTGTTATGGCGGCCCTAGCACACTAATGCAGGTGGAGTGAGGAAGGGCTCGGGGAGCACAGAGTGAGCCGAAGTGGAGAGACAGCAGAAATGTGGAGCGTTATGTTCGTGGGTCATGCAGCTAAGTTACTACTGCTGGGTTATGGCTGATTTCCAGAATGTGTTGGAAACTTGCCTGGTCCTTGAATTAACCACGTTCTAAAGGTATGGAAAGAGGATCTCTAATGATGTTTGGTTTTAAAGTGAGAGCAAGAGCCTCCAAGTGAAGAGGGTTTCCAGTAAGTACGGGAACAGGACTGTGTTTCCCAGTCTTGGGTCCCTTGTTGATTGTGAGGGAAAAATCTCTTCTGCCACTGACCTGCTAAGACCCAGATGGTAGAATGAGCAACAGGGGGTAGAGGTTCTCTGGTTAGTTCATTCTGTGTTATGTGCTAGTCACACAAGAGTCTTAGCGATCTTCCGATTACCCTTTTTTAGCTTGGGTTGGCTGAGGTGCCAACATTTCCCTTTTTTTTGGAGCACTTTTAGATTTATAGAAGATTGTGGAGATAGTCCAGGAAGTTCCCATATAATCCATACCTAGTTTCCCTGTTATTAACATCTTACCTTAGCATGTTGTATTTTGTTAGAATTAGTGGACTGAAATCTATACGTGAAGTCTGAATTTTATTGTTTCCTTAGTTTTAAATTAACTTTTCTGTGTTCTAAGAGCTCACCTATGATATTATGTTACATTTAGTTCTTATGTCTCCTTAGGCCCCTTTTGTCACTGACATTTTCTTAGGCTTTCTTGGTTTCTGTTGACCTTGACAGTTCTGAGGAGTACCGGTCAGGTATTTTGTAGACTGTCCCTCTGCTGAGATCCCTGTGATGTTTTCTTCATGATTAGACTGGGGTTATAGGTTACTGGGGGGAAGACCACGGGGGTAACATGTCGTTTTCAGCACATCCTGTCCAGGGTGCACGCTGTCAACATGACTCATGACTGTGGATGCTCACCTTGCTCCCCTGGTCCAGGTGGCATTGGTCCCGTTTCCTCACTGTAAACTCACTCTCTGAAACAAAGTCACCTTGTGCAGCATCACTTACGGCATGGGGACCCTCGATTTTTAAAACACAAAAAGACCGTGAAGCAGGTGTTGAAGATCACCTGTGAGTACATGATGTTGCTGAGTTATAAGGAGTGGCAAGGCGAAACACAAAAAGAAACCGGGCTTTATTTATTTATTTATTTTTGGCTTGTTTTGTTTCAGAAAAAATACTCTGTAATGTTGCTATGAGAAGTAAGAAAAACGTTCATTTGAACTTTGTGATTTGCCGAATAAAAATAGCTTTCAACCTTGGGCCTTCTTCGTTTATTTAATTAAGGCAATGGGTTCTTATCTGTTCGCGGTACACTTAACTGTGCCACTGGGACTCCAGCTCTAGCTGGAGCTGGAAGAGGAAAGATTAAAATTGGGCTGTCTTTCATTATTAATTGAAATGTTATAGAGCATTGTTTTCTTAAAGGCAGTGCCTTGATAGTTGCATTTACTGGGCAGTCGCGGTCCATGTTGCTTTTTCATGGCCTGTCCTAGCTTGGCCTTGCATGTGGTCTTTTTCTAGGTTCCGGTTTCTATTACAGGCAGAGGACTTCATTAGCTCCCTCTAGCGGTCAGCTTTATAATCTTGAATTCTAGTTAGAACAGACTCAGCCGGTAGAAAAAGCAAATCGGTGACTATTCTCGGGATGATTTGCCTTCACATTTTAATATGGATGCTAAAATGACATCGTGATTGAATTTTAGCTCTGTCCTTTTGGATTAGAACCGATTTTTAAACGAGGCAGTGTTTTAACGTGGTAAGTAATTATAACTTGATTAAAAGCTATAGTGATGAAGATAGCATTCTGGGCAGAAGGTTTACCTAGCTACTGTTTTACTAAGAACCTCAGTGGGCATTTGATTTTAACCAGGGAATTGAATTTGGCTTCTTGCAAGTGTTTTATCAGTGGTGTAGGAGCAAGTGCATATTCTAGATAAACTTGAAAGCTACAAAGCTTTATGAAGCCAGGAGTGAGGGAGTCCTCCAGAGCATTGTTTGTCATTCCTTCACAGATAAAATTTTATCTCCGGTGCAGGAAATGGCCTTCTTTTAGAGCTCTACGTCAACATTCATTATAGTACCATGACTTTCAGAAGATGCAGCATTACAGGGTCTTAGCTCTGTATATCCTTAGAGAGCTGAAATAATTTACCAGAATTTGAGGCCGGCTTCGTCTTATTTTTGATGGAAATACCAGGTGACACAGTATGTGATTTTGCAGGTACTGATACCTGGAATGAGTGCTGGTGTTTGTGCCTAGACCTGAAGTTTTGTCCTCTCGAGAACCAGAGGGGCTGGCATTTAAGGAAAAGCAACTAAATCAATGTGCAATCTGCCATTGTCCTAAGATGTGCTTCTGATTAGCACTAAAGCAGAACTCAAGAGGCCGCGACCCACTGAGCGGTTGCCTCTGTTGAGAAATAAGAAGCAAGGAACTCCTACAGAGGACCTGGATTAAAGAAGTGGTCTGTGTGTGCCTATTTGGGATACTTTTGTTGCATGTGGTACCATAGAGATGTAACAGATAACAATTAAGGAGAAGTTGGTCTATCTTTGTGGTTCTCACTAGAAATGCATTAATAACGAGGCTACCTGTCTGTTGTTTACCCAGCTCCATCTGATCCACTGGAACTCCACCCTGTTTGGCAGTATTGATGAGGCCGTGGGGAAGCCACATGGCATTGCCATCATTGCTTTGTTTGTTCAGGTAAATCGTCCCCTGCTGTGACTGTTGTATTGTTCAGGGATGCTTATTTCTGATTCCTTTGCAGAATATTTTGTGTGCTCTCTCAATTTTATTACTTTCTAAACTCCTGTGCAGAGAACACATGTAATTTGAAAAGAGAACACTTGATTTTTCTGGCTCGTGAGAGGGCAGCCATATTCATTGGTAGAAAATGGTTCAGTTAGTCAGTAGACCTTTTCTTCCAACTGGCCTTCAGGGTCTTTGGAGAAATGATGTCGACGATGTCTCCTGAAGGCAAAGTTCATTTTATTAATGAAAAAGGATTTTAGAAAATGTTTTTGGACCCTGGCTTGCTGTGAAATCGAAGAAAAATCAATAATGTAATCATGTAGTAGATTCTTTTAGCTCTTTGTTATTAATAATTTTTCAGTCCAAGATGATTTGAAGTGCCTGATAGAAAAACACTGATGAAATAAGACTGGCGAAGATCTTGGTGGATACAGTCAATATAAAGTTTAGATTTGAGCTTGTGGTGGGCACAGGATGTTAATTAAATTAATTTCAGACTCCATACTTCCAAAAGTAAAAATTGAATCTAGTTCTCCCCCGTGGATCTTTTTAACTTCGTCTCGTCATCTGTTGGATGTCCTAAAAGATTAAGAGGTAGAAGAGACCCTGCTCTCTCCTTCCCCATCCTACAAGAGAGAAACCAAGGGCCAGAGAGGTCAGTCACTGGTCACAGACACACACAGATTTGGTGTCACCGTCAAGACCAGAAACCATTGCTGTAACTGCAGTTCTGTGTGGTTCCAGGCTGCCTCTTGGAGAATGTGGTACTAGAGCGTCATACTAGCCCAGTGATCGTTAGTAACTTAATTTTCCGAAGAGAGCGGGGCCTTCACAAACCTGCCTTTTTTGTGTCGTATATATTTCAATAGTATTATTAAGCACAACAGTTTTCCATTATAAATTTCTCTCTCAGGTATTTGTTGATGTTTGGAAGCAACCATCTGGCTTTAGCCTTTTAATATTTTAAAAATCAGTATCTTGAAAGTATGACACAGGTCATAGAATTTAAAAGCAAATTCTTCTAGTTTTAAATGAACCTTCTTACTGTTTACTTCATGGGTTTTTTTGTTTTTTGTTTTGTTTTTTTGTTTTTTGTTTTTTTACAGGCAGGGCCCTGTATTTCTTCTATTTTATAACTGCATTGTAGAAGTAGAATAAAATTACGGTATCAAGGTGTTGGTAAAAATGTTTTGATAATCTTGAATGTACTAAAGTAGTAACTAGTGAAGTCCATTTTTGTAACCTGAAAAAGTTAATAAAGCACCCAAATTTGAGAAGTTGAGGCAATAGAAGTAGAAGGCAGTTGTCTTGTTATTAAAAAATAATGAAATAAAATAATACAAATACCTGAGCAGTCATTTCTAGAAGGGAAGTAGGCATGTTTGTTTCATCTCTGGAGTTGGTATTCAACAAATATTTGTGAATGGAGTTAAATATGAGAATATTTTCACTTACTGATCCTTAGCATAGGACAGGTGGCGTGGACTAATAGAGCACTAGGCTGTAAGGCAGGACTCTGGGAACCAGCATCAGTATTCCAGGAAGAAGCTCATTGTTGTAGGCCTGGGGAAGCTTGCGAGCATGCGCACTGGTTCTGACTCGCCCTGAGTTTGCTGTGAGGAGAGATTCGGGTTATCTAGGAGAGAGTAAAGTTACAGAAAGACTGCAAGCAGAATTTCGTGAAGGAAAGAAGGACTGATGGGGAGTGTCCACCGAAGCAGAGAGGAGAGGGACTGAAGTCCATCTCGGGCTCTCACACTTTGGCAGGAGGAGTGGGAAAATGGGAGGGGGTCAGCACAGGCAGTGAGCATAGGTTTCCCTTTCAAGCAGCGTGGCTCAAGAAAAGAAAGACAGATGGGGTAATAACTCGTGCTGATGTGTAGGAATGTTCTCTTTGTTTCATTTCAAGATCTGCGATCTGCCTGTATTTTTATTCTGAGCAAAAAGCCACTAGTGCAGATGCAGAGTTTAAAAATACTGGCAAAAAAAGAGGTACTTGATGTATAAGAAGAGGAGACAAGAGGACGCAGGATGGAGAGCTTTTGTGGATAGACTAACCTCGGAGACCAGGGGGCACCCACCCTTTCTCCAAAACAGAGGGTCAGGAAGAAAGAGTGGGTAGAAATGGGATGGAGTTAAAGGTGAAGAAGGGCAGGAAGTTAGAGGAGCTCATGCCTGATGACCTTCATTATCTCTGAGACATACCAAGCAGAATTATTTCTAGAGCAAGGGAAGCATGGGTGTGGGATTGGGTTTTGAAATAGCCCGGGAGGGGAATGATAATAGACTTGACAGTCAGTGTGGGAGACCCACTTATGACTGAACATCATAGATGGTGTGGGACAAGATCTTGTGGATTGTTCTCTATTCAAGTAGAAGAGTGGGAAATTCTCACAAATTGTTGCATTGATCTCTTTGCAGAGCAGATGATTTAGGGGGACACAGGGATTAGAGAATTGAGGATGGTTGGAGAGGTATCGTTCAGTAGGTAGGAAGGGAAGGAGACAAAGCTAAGAGGCTCCTGGGAGCCGTGGCTCCTCAGATCAGTGAATGGGGAGAGAGAGAAGAGAGGGTAAGAGCTGCATGGATGAGGGGGCGCCTGGGTGGCTCAGTCGTTAAGCGTCTGCCTTCGGCTCAGGTCATGATCCCGGGGTGTTGGGATCCAGCCCTGCATTGGGCTCCCTGCTCTGCGGGAAGCCTGCTTCTCCCTCTCCCACTACCCCCTGCTTGTGTTCCCTCTCTTGCTGTGTCTCTCTCTGTCAAGTAAAAAATGAAATCTTAAAAAAAAAAAAAAAAGCTGCATGGATGAGAAGCTGTGGTCAGGGGGAATGGTCTTCGGAGCTGAAGTTTTCGGAGTGAAAACAAATTCAGGGAATGTTCTCAGGATGGGTGCTGAGGTGGAAGGGGGCTGATAGCCATGGGCTGAGGGGTGAAGATGCATTCCAGGGAGTTGAAGTCCTCCGTAGTGGCGGGCAGGAGGTGATGATGATGATGGGGGAGTGACCAGTGGGTCGTTTTTTAAAAAACTTGGCGACAGTTGAACTTCACCACAAGTAGAGCATGGCAGTATCTGAGGAGGATGGTCCACTCTGAGGAGGATGGTCCACTCTGAGGAGGACGGCCTTGTGCCTGTGGGTCAGAGTATGCATCGGAGGGTACCCGCAGGGCACTGACCACAGCTTTCAGCCCTGTCTCTGGGGGAGACTGCACAGCGTCCACTTGGAAGGCCTGGGAGAGCTGGGCCTTGAGCAGCCCTGAGGGGTTCACACAGACAAGCAGGCGGTGGCACCCTGTTGCAGAGGGCACAGCGAAAATGAGGTGAGGTTAGAGTGAGAAGTGGAAAAGCACAGGGCCAGGGCTGGGGAGGGCTGACAGGTTGCCTTTTGGATGGTGAGAGGTAAGGAGGTAATGGGTCTCGTGGTTCTTGGCACCAGGCTGTGTTGTCACCTGGACTGCTCTAGGATTTGGGGGACTCGGCTGTGCAGAGTAGCGTCTGTACTTGCTGTTTGGTGGTTATCACCTCTTCCTACAGAAATCTGGCAAAGAAGGAAAGGGGAGAGATGGAGTAATAGCCGGAGTTTGTTGCAGATCTAAAACTCTTGCCCATAAAGTATGGAATCTTTATGGAAGGAGGAACCTGTGAGAGTTAAGTGCTAATATATGTAAAAACTGTGTTTGATGCTGTTTGGCTTTCTGAGTAAGGATAATAATGGGCGATACTAATTGAATGAGGCTGGTTCATGTCCTCTTCTGAGGTCTTTGCTGTGGTCTTCTCTTCAACCCTATCACTTTTATCCGCCCTCCCCGACCCTCCCCTACTGGATAGACGAGGCAGCTGAAGGACAGGGAGGTTAAGTAAACTTGCTTACGGCTAAAAACAGGACCAGAAGCTGGCCTCCAGCATAAGCGGCCTTGCTCCTGAACCACTACAGTATGTGTGGCCTTACAGCATTCAGATAAGGACTCTTGAAAGAGTTGCAATCTGACGGGAGATGCATGAAAGGAAAACAACCAACGGAGGCGTAGTCCTCCGAATGCTACGTCACGGTTAAACCAGTACAGCGAAGGGAGGTCGGGTGCCCCGAAGATCGGGCCCGGGCTTCTGCCCTATGCGTGCGCTTGCCTGAAGTATTATTTTCTTAACTTTAGAGAATTCATTTTGCATCTTTAAAGCCTGTCTGAGGAATGGCAGACACTTGGGAAATAGTTGAAGTCTTGACTCTTTTGAACCGATTGGCCTATCTTAGATTATGTAAATGTCTTGTCTCTTTTCTTTGCTTTCTGATGCCCTTTCACCTGGCATATTTCACACGTGGTACACATGACGAGAAACAGGGAACGTGGACATGTTGACAGCTTTTCGAGCTCCTGTAGGTCATCCTGCACAAATTTGTGCAGAAGAGAAAAAGCAAATGATAACGTTCTTTATCTCAGATTTTAAATTACCTCCTGTCGTTACTGTCCTCCATTATCATGGACCATTGAAACCCGGTTGAAAAGTGGAAATCAGATGGTGTTTATAATTTTTAAAGTTAAAGTCAAGAATACTTAATGTCAAATTTCTTTTGAAACCTCACATTCTTTAGAGCATTTTTTACACTAAAAATGTGTAATGATTATATAGTATTTTAAAGTAGAAATCTGTGAACAGCATATTCTGATGTATTTAAGAATAAAATGGTGATTGTACAATTATGTCCAATCTTTTTTAAAAAGGTTTTATTTATTTATTTGAGAGAGAGTGAGCATGAGCGGGGGCGGTGGGGAGAGGGGCAGTGGGAGAGGGAAAAGCAGGCTCCCCGCTGAGCAGGGAGCCCGATGCAGCAGGGTTCGATCCCGGGACCCTGGGATCATGACCCGAGCCTAAGGCAGACACTTAACTGACTGAGCCACCCAGGCGTCCCCAGCATAGGTACAATCTTATAACAATGATCTAGAATGCCAGAGGCGAAAATGAAAGGATTTGGAATGTAATGAGCAATTTTAATTCAGAAATATTCTTGAAATGTTTGTATTGCAGTATTCTATCATTGGATATACAGTTGGCCCTTGAACAAACATGACTTTGGACTACATGGGTCCACTTATACATGGATTTTTTTACAGTACTGTAAATGTATTTTCTCCTTCTTATGATTTTCCTAATAACATTTTCTTTTCTCTAGCTGACTTTATTGTGAGAATAGAGCATATGATGCATGTCACATTCAAAATACATGTTAATTGACTATTGTTATCAGTAAAGCTTCTGGTCAACAGTAGGCTATTAGTAGTTTAGTTTTGGGGGGAGTCAAACATTATACGCGATTTTCAATGGCACAGGGGTCAGTGTTCAGGGGTCGACTGCAGATAGCACAGTGGGTGATAATCTGTACACAGCAAGATGAATTTAGAATGAATTCTTTGAAATGTCTAAGAGCTAAGTTTTTTTTTTTTTTTTTAAGATTTTATTTATTTGACCGAGACACAGTGAGGCAGGGAACACAAGCAGGGGGAGTGGGAGAGGGAGAAGCAGGCTTCCCGCCAAGCAAGGAGCCCAGTGCGGGGCTCGACCCTAGGACCCTGGGATCATGACCTGAGCCGAAGGCAGACACTTAACCGACTGAGCCACCCAGGTGCCCCAAGAACTAATACTTCTATACTAGCCTCTCTTACAACTTTAATTGCTCTATGTAGATGTTGACCTGGTTATTATTGAAAAGGTATTTTACTTATTCCCTGAGAAGGAAATTCAGGTAGACTTGCGCTTCACTTTCTGTTAGTTCTTTTGGAGGAAAGCAAAGTATTTAAAGATGGTTGTGGTATGTATGGTTTATGCTTTGTGTATTACAGATAGGAAAAGAGCACGTAGGCTTGAAGGCTGTGACTGAAATCCTCCAGGATATCCAGTACAAGGTAAGTTTTTATTTAAAAGAAAATAAAAATACTGGTTATGAAAGCAGACCCCAAGACCACTCTCAGATTTGATGATTCGCTCCAAGGACTCACAGAGTAGCTGTTATTCTCATGGTTGTGGTTTATGACAGAGGAAGGCTACAGATCAAAAACGAGGACAATGCAAAGGTTCGTGGGGCCAAGTCCAGGAGAAACCAGGCATAAGCTTCCAGCTGCGCCCTCCCAGTGGAATCACATGGGAATGAACCTAAATCTTTCGGCAGTGATGTGCCACAACGTGTGTGAAGTGTGACCAACCAGGGAAGCCTAGCTGAGCCTTTGTGTATAGGGATTTTATGAGGGATCAGTTATGTGAGCATGCAGTATCTGTGTAACTGACCTCCGCTACCCTGCCTCCATCCTTTCCAGCCCCAGCCAAACCAAGCCTTCATCACAAATCACATTGTCGGGGTAAACTGCTGCGGTCCACCTGGTACAGCATGGCCCGAGGCCTCAGGCATACAAAACCACTCTTATCAGGCAGACTATCCCAAGACCTCAGAGCCCATCAAAGCCAGTCCTCAAGACAGGCAGCTTTTTTTTTTAAAGATTTTATTTATTTATTTGACAGAGAGAGACAGCGAGAGCAGGAACACAAGCAGGGGGAGTGGGAGAGGGAGAAGCAGGCTTCCTGCGGAGCAGGGAGCCCGATGTGGGACTCGATCCCAGGACCCTGGGACCATGACCCGAGCCGAAGGCAGACGCCTAAGGACTGAGCCACCCAGGCGCCCAAGATAGGCAGCTTTTTGAGCAACCCAGGCCTGCTGAGTTAACCCTTTCCGCCCATTGGTTGTAGGAAGGTTGGGTAAATGACACAAAAATTATGGCGACTATACTTCAAAGCATTTATGTTAAAAAAAGAAGAAAGGCAAGTACACATAAGCTGTAAGATCACATATCTCAGAGAAGGTGATTTAGTTTGATACGACTCTGTAGTGCTTCAGCCCCCCTTTGCTGGGAAGCCAAGTTCTGTCATAACCAGTACCTTTTACGCTCACGTTGAATCGATTGAATCTGAGTGGCCTTGGAGGGCAGTAGTTTAATCCTGGTGAATGGCTACTGCAGATACAGCATAGAGATTCAGAGACCCAAGGCCGATCCCAAAATCAATCTGAGAATGAAGTCTGATTAGCTCTAGGCCAGCGCAAACCCAGGGCATCTTGGACCAGGCAAAAACATCTACCGTAGATTTCCTGAGCAGGCTTAGAATGAATCCAGCTACCAAGGGAAGGCACAGACTAGTCAAAAAGCTGGTAGGAAGGGGGAAGGACACATTTTGACTGACATTTGTCCAATGGAAACGGGTTGAGAAATTTTCTTTTATTGCTTCAGCTCATACAACATCCGTCTTTGTGGAATACAGGGGGCTGGTGGGAAGCAGGTAAGCTGGATTCTTTATTGTGTCACATAGTTCCTAGAAGTAAGGAAGAGACTAAGAGGTTACACATTAACTTGCCCTGTTATGTCTGCATTGATAGAGTCATCTTACAAGAGACCTCCAACTGCTGGGACAGGTCTGTTTGCCTCTAGGACCTGAGCAATTTAAGTGGCACTATTTAAAATAGTGATTGCAAATGTGACTGTTGAACAATGGCACAAATATTTTAGTGAAATTCTTTATTTTAATTTTATTGAAATTTAAATACAACTTTGATAAAAGTTGCTTAGAATTGAATTTTTTTTTAAAGATTTATTTATTTGAGAGAGAGCACAAGCTGGAGGGGAGAGGGAGAGAGAATCTCAAGCAGACTCAATGCTGAATGCAGAGCCTGTCTCAGGGCTCAATCTCAGGACCCTGAGACCATGACCTGAACCGAAACCAAGTCAGACGTTTAACCAACTGAGCCACCCAGGCGCCCATAGAATTGGAATATTTTCATTCAGGTGTTAGTTTTCCCTCTCTGTAGGAAGAGAGCATCTACAATAGATCCTAGAGACAAGTTACCAAATGCAAATGAAACAAAATGAGAATTGAGGAGGCAGGTTGTAATGCCGAGAAGGTTAGGAGCTGAGGTCAGAGTAGCAGGGGGAAGGTCATTTCAAAAGCATTCTCTGAACCAACCAGGGTACAGGCATTTTACACCAAAGCCCAACTCTCTGGTGTTGGATGTGCTAGGAGCAGGAAAAGTGGGACAGACAGACACTGGACAGACAGTTGTAAGTTTCACTCTGAAATTATAGGGGAAATTGAACTGTGGTCGCGAAGAAATAGCCATGGACTCAGAGCAGGAGTGCCTTGTTGGAATCAGCCGATGTGGCTCCGGTGAGAAGACAGAGTGAGACAGCGCCAGATGTGTGCAGTCTGGGGTGCCGTTTGGGAAAGATGTCAACCTGCGTTTTCAGTGCTAACAATTTTTTTATTCTAAAATTGAGGAGTCTTGGGGCGCCTGGGTGTCTCAGTTGGTTAAGTGGCTGCCTTCAGCTCAGGTCATGGTCCCAGGGTCCTGGGATCGAGCCCCGCATCGGGCTCCCTGCTCAGCGGGAAGCCTGCTTCTCCCTCTCCCACTCCCCCTGCTTGTGTTCCCTCTCTCACTGTGTCTCTCTCTGTCAAATAAATAAAATCTTAAAAAAAAATAAAAAATAATAAAATTTAGGAGTCTTATGATAACATATGGTGAATTCTTTTCTTTTTCAGGGGAAGTCCAAAACAATACCCTGCTTCAATCCTAACACTTTATTACCAGGTAGGTGTTAATCTTGCTCTCATCAGATGAATTTTAAGTGTGTGAATATGATTGCATTGTTTACCTCCCAATACGTATAGCTATATGTTATTAGTTAATAAAGTTTCTTTACAATTTATATTCTCTGTAGTAGGTAGCAGTTTCAGACTGCTCTACACATGGGAGTAAACCTTTTGAAATAATAAACATTTTGTCCCTTTTCCCATTATTCTCTGAAGAGTTTCCTTTGGATTTTCATTTGCAAAAATTGCTACCTCTGTGTAAAGCATGAGCATAATAACATAATTTTGATATACTTCTAGGATTGGTCAGTGAGGTTCTTACTAATCTCTAGAGTGAATCAAGTTTTGTATCTAATTTTATAAGGTAAACTCTTTGCAGGGCTACTATCATATAGATGTTATTCTAATTATTTAGGTATACCTACACAGGTAAGAATTGCGTATAAAATACTCAAAACATAGTTTGTAGCTAAAGGTTGTTTTGTACAAAATTTTGGTCTTCACATTCTTCTGCCTAAATTATATGCTGTTTCTTAGTGTTTTATTTATTTATTTTTAAAAGATTTTATTTATTTATTTGACAGAGAGAGACACACAGAGAGAGGGAACACAAGCAGGGGGAGTGGGAGAGGGAGAAGCAGGCTTCCTGCTGAACAGGGAGCCCGATGCGGGGCTTGATCCCAGGACCCTGGGATCACGACCTGAGCCAAAAAGGCAGATGCTTAATGACTGAGCCACGCAAGCGCCCCTGTTTTTTAGTGTTTTAAACAAAACCAAATAGGTTGATGCACTGTATGTATCATCTACGGCCTACATTTAATTGCTTTACAACAAACCAGATTTTGCCATGTGTTGAACATTTTTATCCACCATATTTGATCGAGAGTTCTTCTAATGCAGAACTAAAAGATTACATAGGAATGATTTGTTTTGTCCTGTCATAATAGGACTTCGTGTTTTGCTGTTGAGGGAGATGTATAGAGAGGGCTAAAACAGAATGTTTAAAAACACAGTCTTTGAAGTCAGACTGCTTGGTTTTGAATCTGGCTCTGCCAGTTATTAGCTGGGTGACCTTGGACAAATTATGTAACCCTCTGTGGTACAGTTTCCCCATCTGAAAAATGGGGCTAATAATAGTACCATAATAGTACCTGTCTCATTGGTTTGTTGTAAGGGTTAAATGGGTTCATGTGAAATGCTTAGAATAGTGCCTCACATTTAGTTGGCATTGGGTTAGGTGATGAATAAGTCAGGTAAATCCTTCAATAAAGTTAAAAACAACACAGATACACTTCTTCTAAAGTGACTAAACTGGATCTGTACATACACACATATATGTATATATCAAGTTTGGATAGCCATCTTTGGCTTATATAGTGATACATGGATAGAAATCACTATAAATACTAGGAAGAGGGCTCATCATATTTTCCATTGGTTATTTTCTCCATGATGATTAGTTTAAGAATGCATGTGTGAGGCTGTAGTTTAAAAGGACTCATTCTGAAAAGTGTTGTTTATAGGCAGTTTGTAATTTTGAAAATTATTGTTGGCATCTTCGGAATTATTAATTAATTTACTGTTTTGTGACGTGGCCACCCGGTTGCACAGATCCTTTGCTGCGGGATTATTGGGTGTATGAAGGCTCTCTTACCATTCCACCTTGCAGCGAAGGTGTTACCTGGATATTATTCCGATACCCTTTAACTATATCTCAGCTGCAGGTGAGTACAGCACTTTAAATCTTTCGGAAGAAGTTCTGAGTTAAAGGTTAAATATTATTTCTGTAAAAGGGAAATGTCTGTTTTATGTTTTATCTTCCTTTAGATCAGTCACATCTTCGCAGATGAAAGTTAGATGTCTTGAACCAGTGAAAGCAATTGAAAGGTCAGGGATGAATAAAACCCAGCTATCGTTTATGATCTGTATTTTAAAAGTTAGTTTTTATAGAGTAAATACAAGTCACTGAAATAGTCAGACTTTTGATTAGTTAGTTTTTATAGAGTAAATACAAGTCACTGAAATAGTCAGACTTTTGATTAGTCTAGTTATTTCTTTGTGTGGGATTCCCCAGGACTGGAGAGGAGAAAGGTCTTAGAAGTGAAAATGTTGCTTATTTCTGTGAGTCATGTGGGCTTTGTAATACTTCTTCCTTCGCTTGCACAGGAAAAATTCTGTAAGCAGAAGGGTGAAGGAGGTTAAAAGAATGCTCTGGGAAGAGCCAGATTGTTCTCTAGCTCCACTTCTGGTCACCTGCTTCTCACCTTGGGCTTTGCATAGGTGCTCTAAATGCTGATTCACAGTGGGTGGGGGCACTGAGTTGAACTGTCATGCTGGTGGAACATGAGGCAACATCATTATAATGTGTTTAAATAATGATTTTGATATTATTTCAAAAGAGGTGCTTTAAATATCTCCTGTCCTCCGGGGAGCTCAGGGATGTGTTCTAAAAGGCTGTATTTTTTCCTTCATGATCAACCTCAGAAGGCTTAGGCTGTACTCCAAACAAAATGAAGTTTCCTTTAGTGACTTTTTACAAATTTTTATTACATCTCCTATCACTTTCTAAGAACTTTAAGTGTATTAACTACTCAGTAAAGCCTTCCTTTGCTTGTCCTTAAATCTTCAAAATCCTTTCAACTTTTAACAGTTTCTTCTTTTTCTTTTTCTAAGGATTAATTTTAAAACTTCCCAATTTAGCTTCTCCATCCTTTTACAGACTTTGATCACACCACCTTTAGGCTTTTGTATTTTTAATATGACAGATCCCTTATTTATTCATTTATCCCTATGTTTTTATTTTTTTTTATTTTTTTTTATTTTTTTTTAAAGATTTTATTTATTTAATTGACAGAGAGAGAGACAGAGAGAGAGGGAACACAAGCAGGGGGAGTGGGAGAGGGAGAAGCAGGCTTCCCGCCGAGCAGGGAGCCCGATGCGGGGCTCGATCCCAGGACCCTGGGATCATGACCTGAGCCGAAGGCAGTTGCTTAACCAACTGAGCCACCCAGGCGCCCTCATTTATCCCTATGTTTTTAAAAGAAACTATTCCTGAATGCCAAGCAGACACACAAAGAATATAGAGATTAAAACACAGTCTTTACCCTCAAAATGTTTACCACAGAGTAGAAGAAGCAGACAATCATACAGACGGTTGTGTTGATTGTGAGAAGTAAGGTGCTCCAGACACACATAGGAAAGAAACCCAACCTGGCCTGGGTGGGACCGGGAGTAATTCCTGAAAAATGTTAGGAGTAAGTCTGGTAAAGGAGAGGAAAGAAATTAGAAATTTGAGTCTAATGTTAGGGATAGAAGTTTGGACTAATAATTATGGGTTTGGATTTTAACCACAAAGATGGTAGCTGCTATAACAAATAAACATCAACATTCCAGTGACCTCTCACAGAAGAGATTTATTCATTTATTTTTAAAGAGTTCTTTATTTATTTTAGAGAGAGAGAGAGAGCGCGAGCACAGGTGCGTGCACCTGCCAACTCAGGGGAGGGGCAGAGGGAGAGAGAGTCTTAAGCAGACTCCCTGCTGAGCTGGGAAGTGGATTCAGGATTCATGTCCAGGAAGGAGAAGAAATGGATTTGATGATGAGTTGAGCTCAAGTTGAGGAGGAGACAGGACAGTCGGCTGATTGCCAAACCTCAGTACAGCTGGAGGAGATGGCACCACGCAGGGAGCTAAGAAGGACTTAACTTAAGGACACCTGAGAGGGAGTGATGTCCTGGGGCCCAGGACGGGAGAGAGGATGGCCCACATGTGGAGGAGGGGAGGGAAGTTAATAGTGACAGATGCCTCAGAGAATTTAAGTAGGGTGGGTGCTGCCCGCCTGAGTGGCAAATAACCATGCCTTATAGAAATGGGCCCAGATGCCAGTGGGTGGGTTTGAGATCCCACCCGGTTCCGGGTGATTGTCACTGGTTTGGGTGCTTAACCACTGTCCCCTTTCAACTCCTGCCCTTTATGATATCACAGTTCCTTTGAGATCCTCTTTCTATATGAGACCTTGTCAGGAAAATCTCACTGGTACTAGAGAAGGTTTCTACCTTTTTGGCCTGTTTTGTGTTCTCAGTTGGAGGAGTTTGGTTTCTTTTGACAGAAACACAGAAAGAACGAGACCTTCAGAGGCTGATGTGGACATACAGATTTAGGGCTCATTGGCATAGGAGAAGGAGCCAAGGGACATGAACAAATGAGATGAAAGAAAAGAGTATGGGAAAAGAAGAGTGGAGAAGATGGGAGAAACAGTCTCTTGGAGGTTTTCCTGAGAAAATTTTTATAAGAGAACTCTTTTATAAGAGAACTTTCAAAGCTGGTAGGGTCCCATGGGACTTACTACTCTCCATTTGCCATCTGGTTACTCCAAGTCACTTCTGTCGCTGATACCACATTTCTGAAGCAGGGAAGAAGGTTTGGGATGAGCAGGTGGGTATGTGAAGGCCGTTGTTGGCTGGCCGATCCAGGTCAGACTGAGACCGCAGCTTCAGCTGTCCTAAGCTGGGGCGGGAGAGTTGTGATTGTTCTGGGAATGACGTATATCAAAGATCGAACATCCTCTGCATTTACTTTTCCTACATCTTGCTTTTAGGGACAGTGATACACATTTTCTCATTGTTGCAGCAAGTAGCACAACATCTTAGACGACTAAGTTTCAAAACAATGAAGCTTAATAAGCAATATGTTTTGCTGGGGACTCATTCATTGGCCTTTACATGTCCCTGATTCTATGAACACAAGCAAATTACTGATAAGGTAATATGTTGCTGTAGTCCCATCTTCCTTTACCCTTGTCATAGTCAGATGTTAGGATGTGGAATTTCTCCTTTGAGAATAAGGTGGATAATTTATTCATTAATTCATGCATTCGTTGATGAATTTGGTAATTTGGCATTTTCTATATTCCAGGAGCTGTAGTAAGCCCTGCAAGTGGAGGACCAATAAGACATGGTTCTGACCTCAAGGAATTCACCATCTGGGGGGAAAGGCAAATATGTTCACATTGAAAGAATAGTAATTTCATGTGAACAGTGCTTTGGTACGACATGAATATGCCCTAGCACATAGGACGGGTACCTAATAAGATTTAGCCATCTGGTAGACCTTCCCCAGGCCAGATAATGGGGTGTGGCGTGAGTGTTACTGGGCATTGCTGACTGGGGAAGAAGAGCCTGCATGGGCACAGAGGCCTTTGGAGATGCCCACTGTTAGTGTAAAGGGCCAGGGTCATGAGATGCAATTGGAGAGGAGATCACGGGCCTGACACTCACCAAAGAACCTTGATGTTGTGCTGTGGAGGCTTCCTGAAGGCAGCAAGGAATTCCTGGAACACTGTGAGAAAGAGAGAGAGACAAGACCAAGTCTGAATTTGAGAAACCTCTCTGTAGCTCCCGTACGAAGATGTCAATCTAGTTAAGATTGTGAAGTGGGATGAAAGGAGAGGAATGGCTTTAGAAATAATAAAGCAGTAGAGTCAGTAGAATTGGTGACTGACGACATAGGAAGGTTTTCAGGGAGGACGAAGCCGCATATTACTTCCTGGATTTTGGCTTGAGTGACTAATGAGTGTAATGTCGCTCTTCACCATGACAGGGGATAAAAATGGAAGGGCAGGCTTTATGCAGAGTATTATGAGTTTGTGGTTGTAAATGCTGAGAGTTTGAGGATGCCTTTGAGACATCCCAAGAAAGGGATATAATACATAGGTGATGGTTGAAGCCACATGTGGAGAAGAGGAGATCCTTTAGGGAGAGAAAAAGAAACAATGCAGAGCATGGGGAGGGGAGCTGATAAGGGTGTGCATTGGGATAGTTGTCCCCGTGGAATGACTCAAGGGGTGGGAAGAGTCAGGAGGTTGGTGGGATGTAATGTCTGGAAGCCAAGGGAGGTGTGAGTTTTAAGGAGGGAGGGAGTGGAGAGATGGAAAGTATCAGATTTCTGCACAAACATTAAGTGAAGGGTGGAAAAGTATTAATTGGATTGAGCCACAAGGAGAGGTCTCAGGCATGGAGATGAAATCGAAGAAGCTGAGTCTGCAGTCCCATTTGTTCAGCATTGCTCTATTTAGGGGTATTTTTCTAAAAATAGATCAAACCTTTTAGTGAAAAATAAAACTTTATCAGCACAATAAATTTCTGTTTATTGGAAGTTAGCTGAGATTAACCTTGTTGAGCCACAAAAGAGAACATTCTTTTTTTTTTTTAATTTTTTATTGTTATGTTAATCACCATATATTACATCATTAGCTCTTGATGCAGTGTTCCATGATTCATTGTTTGTTCATAACACCCAGTGCTCCATGCAGAACGTGCCCTCCTCAATACCCATCACCAGGCTAACCCATCCCCCCACCCCAAAAGAGAACATTCTTAAATTCCTCTTGGAATTCCATTAAGAATTCCCTTGCCAGCATGTTAATGCGTGGGAATGGTACTGTTGAACCATACTGTGAATGTTAACTGATGTTCTGTAAATGTGAGCAGTAAAGTTTTACTCCCCTGTTGACTAGCACATTATGCCAAAATTCAGAGACAAATCACTGTGCCTGCCTTTGTGTCTGGCTGGCTTCAAAGGGAACCTTGCTTTCTATTATCCCGTTGAGTAAGGCCAGTGACAGACTCTAATAACCCTCACCCACCAAGTCATTTCCTCAATTGTTGGGAAAAGCCATATCTTCCTAATTGGGAGCCAAAGCCAGAGGAATGTGTTTTGGAAAGAA